AACAATAATGGCAACAATCCATTTAGGGTTCACTGACAGGGCGCTGGTAGGCTAAATCTCTGGCATGATTTTCTGGAACATCTCAATGGAACAGATCCATCCGTAACGTTAGCTGCAGCTGTGTTTTTCCTGCTGTGGCAAGTCAAAATGTGAGTAAGAGAGATCCATAACAGCCAGAAAAGGCTAACTATGTGATAACTCAACATGATTTACTACCTTTCTCTAACTTTCATCAGCAGATAAATGAGATGCAAAACTTTGTAGAGAAACACAATTCTGAGTGAGTGTTGAGCAACCAAGCATAAATCAAGTTTAGGATTTAATGAAATTATGACGCCTCTAGTGTTCAGTTCTGCCACAGTCAGCAAAACACTACTGCTGTATAATGGTTTCTAGTTCTGGATTGTAACCGATTTACATAATCTGACGTGAATTAATAATGAGGTGATAGACAACAAGACTATAAACTTGATAACATGGCACTCAAAATTTGCTCTGTCTGTAATCACTTCAACTGATGTTTGTACAACTGATGCATTCAAGCATGCGTTTCCTTTTCAGAGTTCACCCTGAAAATTCACAAAGTCGGCCAATAGAAACACTGACGGAGCGTGTCGCATCAACTAACTTGTACGATGGATGAAAAGGTTTGTTTTAAATCCTACATTCATCATCATACATACAGTTACATACACAATAACAAGGTTAAAATGCTGGTGTTCAACATTTTTGACCATATTCACCATCTCCACTAGCATGTTAGCATGCTAATAATTGCTAATGGACACTAAACACAAAATAGACCTGAGGCTGATGGGAATGTCAGTAATGTTGCAGGTATTTGGTCATAAACTAAAGTACTGGACAAACTGATAGTTTGACCTGGTGATGGTCAGTGGATTGCCAAGGTTCTTAGCATACTTTGTCTGGGAACCATAATACACAATTTCATGGCAATCCTTCTAATAGTTGTTAAGATATTTCAGTCTGGACTAAAGTGGTGGACTTACTGACCAAACACATTGCAGTGACTACAGTCACATTGCTAGCATGGCTTAAACTTGACAAAGCTTGAAATTAAAGCTGCAACTATTTTGACAATCGATCAATAATCGATCAGTGGTTACTTTTCGAGCAAAATTGCCAAAAGTTCACAGGTTCCAGCTTCTGTGAGGATTCTCAGCTTTTCTTTTTCTTATATGATAATAAACTGATTCTCCTTGGGCTTTGGAGTGTTGGTCGGCCCAAATAAGAATTTAAGAATTAGTGACTCACATTTTTCCCATTTTAAAAGACCAAACGACCAATCAAACCAAATAATTGGAAGATGAATTTATAATGGTAATTGTTGAAACCTAGGTAAAATGCTGGAGGGTCATATTTTTTGTCTGCAAAGAATGTCCAGTGAAATTCAAACCACCTTTGGAGGTTTCTGTCACGATCCTGTCTGTGTGTCTTGTTGGGGAGTCTGGGTTTGGTTTAGTCTGCTCTGTACTCTGTGTTCTAGTTCTGTGTTCTCGTTTAGGTTTTGTCTGTTATGATCCCTGTGTTATAGTTGGTCGGTGTTTGTCTGTTTACATGGGTTTCTGTTATTGTCTGAAGTTAGATTCCTGTCTGGTATTTTGTAAGATGTGTTCTGTCTGTGTTGGTTATTTATTTTGCTCCATGTCTGCCTGTCAAGTGTTCCGTCTGTTCCCCCAGTTATCACTCTGCCTGCCTCAACACAGTCTCACTCCCTACTCGTCAAATGTCTGACGCATGGTCAAGGCCCTTTGTCGTCGCTTTTTAAAGACTTGGGTAGCCCTTTTGCATCAATTATTGACGTTTAGGGATCCACAGTCAAGTTAGCAACGCTTAGCAACAATAAATATGCAATATCCGGTTACACTTTCAAGATAAAACGTAACGTTTCAATACATTGCCATGTTGAAACGCGCATAATTAAAGTCGTGAAACGTTGCAGTTTCGTTAGGTTTAGGGACAGAAAGTACTTGGTTGGGTTTAGGCAACAAAACTACTTGGTTAAGGTTAGGAAAAGATCATGGTTTGGGTTAAAATAGCTATGTATGTCAATTAAGACTTAAGTTAACTAACGTTAATGTCAATTTACCTCACTCGCCTAAATAAAAACATTTAAAACCGTTCTCCTGCTTCAAGGTTCGGGTTCTGGCCCTCTATCCACCCCAATCACCTCCTTACTTCGTCTTTTCTCTTAAATATCATACTTGCCTTTACCATCAAAAACTGACACAACAGGGCTTCCCTCATTACGTCGAACTATGACGTCAAAGGGATCCCTAGTGCGTCACAAACTGACGATTATGGCTCTTGACCAAGCGTCCATATGTGACGACTTGGGAGTGAGAACGGGTTGCCTGCCTGCCTTGTTAACCTTGATCTCTGACACCTGTGTTGCTCCCGCCCTGCTCGTTAGTCCCTGTGTATATATGCCTGGTGTTTCTGTTAAGTCTTTGTCTGGTCATTGCAGTGTTTGTAGCTGTTCGTGCGCTGTCTTGTGTGTTTCCCTCTGCCTGTTCATTTGGATTACTTGTTTTGTTTGGACTAAAACCATATAAAAACATATAAACCACTGAACTGAACCGAACCTGTCAGCCTTGTGTCCTGCATTTGGGTCCTCCAACCTGCTCAACCCCTCACAACCGTGACAGTTTCATTCAATCACAAATTATATGATACACAAACTGTATACCGTATTCACTGCAGAGCTCTATTCAATTGAATGTTGTTGTTTTTTTATCAGCTGTAACTTTACCACATTTTTCCAGAGGGGGTAAAGCTGCACTTTTTGACACAAATTCATTTTTAAAAGGGACACTACACCGATGTTACACATGAAGTTCAATTTACTCCTCATGAGAAATACTAAACATCCAGGGCAAATAGTTGAGCAGTGTCTTCTGAGGCTCTTGACAAGCTTTCCCAAGACGCAGATGATGTCAGGGAGGGTTTAAATAAGGAGCCCTTGAGTTGGAAATTTAGGATTGGGGTTTTTTTGGCGCTTGACCCACACAAGGGTGTAAAAGTCCGGTATCTCGGCCTCTGCTGCTTCAATTTTGACCTTGCTTTTAAAATCTGTCTCTCGTCAGTTTTTGGAGCTGCGATTCTGATTTGCTGGAGTACAGGCAGCTGCCCCCTCAATCATGAAACTCATAGTGGAATTAATGCTGAAACCCACTAAACATGCCACCTGTACCATGTTTTTCCATTAATTTATTAATGCAGACACCAACACAACACATGTCAGAGAAAAGAAACAGAGAACCACACGTCTGAAGATGTTCAGAGTCTTGACAACTGTGACAGCAGAAAGAATATCTGCTGACTGCAGCTAGTCCCAACTGCTCCTAGTCACACCATCAGAAGGAAGCAGGAGATGGTTATCAGTTTGGATGTAGGCGGTGTGTTTTAACCATGCATGGAGCTGTGAAGTGACTGCTCCAATCACGGAGCAGAGCCCAGCAGCTCTGTTGAAAGGCAGGAATGTATGTCACCACTTTTCGGTAAGCTACAGCTGAGCTCCCTGCATGTCTTTCAGGAAACCTATCCCCTGCCATACATTATCAAATTGAAAAAATGAAATGTCTTCCATGGAGCTGTTGTGTCCAATATAAAGTATCCTCAAAGCGTATCCATAAGTGCTCCGGCTCTACTAATGATTTGCAATGATTCATCTTAAAAGGCAGCTGCAGGTTGAGAAAGATTTCATCAAGGCACCCATCTTGGATGGGATGTGTTTTACTGTGCAGCTCTTTGAAAACGTTCATCACGTCTCTCAAATTAAAGGCTGCAGATGGAAGGCACATACCAGTCCTGATGCCTAGTTGATGGCTATCAACCAAAACAGGAAGGACTTTGTGCATTCTACAAACAGATTCAACTAACAAGAGTCCTGCTAACATGTACTGTGTGTCTATCCAATGCACGGTACATCTCATGGTACACTTGGCTGGCTGAGGAAAGTAAACAAAGGGGACAAGGAAGGAGAGTATTGGGAGACGGACTAACCTATCATTGTCTTCGTCTTCTTTGGTCCTTACTTGCATTAAATTAACTTACACTTAAACTTGTCTTACACCAGTGGCTTGGAGAGCATACAGAGCAACCTTTACAGTAATAATTTCAGTCACTATCTAACGCAATGGTGAAAACAATGGCGATTGACCCAATGGGTTGTTGGTAGTCTTCCTGGGGTTCACACAAATTGGCCATTATTCCCCTGGAGACTTGCCTTAGTCTTAGGCCCCATCCACACGACCGCGCTTTCGTTTTAAAATGGAGACCTTTTGCTACGTTAGCACCTCCCGTCCAGACTAAAACAGCAAAAATGAAGACCAAAAACGGAAAAGTTTGAAAATGCTGCCGCGTTTTTTCTCTTAAAACTCCAGGGTAGGGGACTTTAGAAACGCTGACGCAGACGCTCTCTGATTGGGGCTCATAAGTCATGCAAAGCAGAAACACAATGCTACTGACAGAGTTTTTGATTTGGTATTTTTATTAAAATATTTTGTACCTAGCAAATAACACTTACAGCCTACACTTGTACTCTGCATGTTGCTGTTTACTTTGCGACGACTCCCAGTGTGTTTTCTGTGTCACTTTTAACTCCCACGTTACATTCAGTAACAGTTCCAGCTCGTTATTGGTCCATGACAAAACAATTTGGTGTGTCTTTATAGTATTTCTTTATTCTTTTGCCACGGAATAGACCATGTTTACACCTGCACGTGAATGTGAACAGCCACTAGATGTGCAGTTTCAGTCGTTTTAATATAGACGATCAACTCTGGTACGCAGCTAAAATGCTGGTTTGGACGGAGATTGTATTTGAGTAGTGTGGATGGGGCCTTAACCATAACCACTATATGACGAACCCTATTTTAACCAAAAGCCACCTCTAAAGTTAAATAGGACAGGCTTTTGTTCCGAAATTGGAGGTGAGTCCCCGCCATATTTCTGTTTGTTTAGTGTACTACACTGACCTGTAGCTCCTTGCTCTTCCTCTGCAGTCCAATGTTGAGGGCCTCTTCTGCTTCCAGTTTGGAGCTGGTACTGCTGATCTCCAGGTCCCTCCTTCAGAGAGAAACAGATATTAAACAATACATTAATTTTACCGCTGGCAAAAAGTCAGTTTGTAAGTCAGTCATTTGAAGACAATTTCAACTAGCCTAATCCAAATTACAGAACAATGAATTTTAACTGAATATAGAATTAAAATGTATTTATATGTGACCCAAGGAAGATATGTAGACAACCTTCACTGTAGGCTTTGATTTATAGTATTATTTATTTTACAAAAGATACAATATAAAGAGAAATAAACTGATCTTAAATAGATCATGCTCTACCTATATTTCATTGTTCAATCCTTTGGGAGATAAAGTCTGCAAATACAATATCCAGCATACTTCTCCTGTGTTATTCATCACTGTTACCACCTCTCTCTGGCAGTCACCTTTTCACTGCCCTAGAACCTAAGTGATGTACTGCTATTGGGTAATCTCATTTCTCATTCGTCATTTCTCTGTGTCCTTTTGTTCACTGATTTTACATCAGCATGTAGAAGACTGCCTTTAGCGACTGCATCCTCTTCGATTGACTATTACTGGTGGTTCTTTCAAATCCATGGATATTGCTGGCTCTGATGATGATATGTGCCAGTGTTTTTTTAATTTATCAAACCCAGTTTATTTCAGTTGGTGTAGGTAGTACCAAACACGACGAGTGTTTTTCTGTGGGGAATTCTTTTGTAATAATTCATTAAGGCCATATGATAGGCTTCCTCCACACAGTCATTTGGACAACCCTGTTCTACAAACCTTTGTTTTCATAAAATCCTCTGTGGAGTCCGAAATTCTGACATCTTGGTAGACCTTGTTTTAAGGGTGTAGGGTGATAGCTGTTTGCAAGCAGTAATGTGTTTCCGTCTTTCCTGTATTAAGTAGTGCATAGTGTACCAGACTTCTTCTCAACCCACATATCCAGGATGTGGACTATCAAAAGCATATTCTATAGTGATTTTTAAGTTGGGATTCTATTCTTTTTCATTAGGTTCAATTCTTGTCAGCTCTTTTAATTCATCCATCGTCCCCTTCATTTACAAAAAAGATTCCGTCTTTCCTTCAGCCTTTCCTTCCCATAGTCGTTCCAGTTTATTAAGCCTGTCAAATCTCCAAAACTGTGGCAGAACTGGCAAAAAGACATGGAATATGTAACATTGCTAGTTTTATGGAGCTGTTAAGGAAGTAATGACTTTACCTAAATGTTGTGTAATGGGTATTAAGACGTGACAGGACTCTTATGGAAAGAGCCACAATACTTGTGTGATATTTAGCAAATGGTGTGTGAGAGGTGGCGGTGTCACAACTGGAGAACAGCAGGGTGAGTTCCCACTTACAGTATCTTACAGGCTGCTGCCACCCGTAGCCATGTTTCTGTCATACGAATTTTAAGTGGACTTTTGAAACGTCACAAAAAAAAAATAGGAAATGCGAAAGCGGTGCGTTTCCATCAGCTGATCTGGAGCGAATAAACCAGGCTACGGCAAGCTAGTTATGTCAGTAATTTCCAAAAAGTGTTTCCATCTCCCAATTAGCGCATTAACTCTTATCAACAAAGGCAAAAACCACCTCAAGCGAGCGTAAAACCATTTTTCCAAAATTTTTCTTGAAAAATTCGCTTGTTTCCATCAACCTTTTCTAATGCGATACTTCAAAATGCACATAAAAAAAAATGTTTATGGAAAGACGGCTAGTGATTGAATACAAAATATTTTTTAAAAACTGCCTTTATGTGATACAGCAAGACTTGCAAGGTGCTTTGATGTATGCCATTTCTTTCTCTCTTTAATTCTATGTAATGCACAGAATTAGCTTTTTTCCACAATCACTTATTCATTACACCTTATTTCTGTTCTATATAGGCTAAGCAACAAGTTCTTTGATCAAAACATGACGCCAACAAAGCTTCATTGAGTCAAACTGAGTGACAGATTTCATATTATCTTCCAATATGAACAGTTTGGAAAACACAGCACCTTAGTAACAAGGTGAGTCACTCACTTCATTAGTGTTACAGTTAAAGAGGGTCATGCAATTATTGATGCCAAAGAGAACAAGTTTTAACTTCATAAAGGTGATATTAATGCTTAGTGATCTGTGTGTGTGTGTGTGTGTGTGTGTGTGTGAAAGTTGGTTCTTGTCTTGTTGTTGCTGCAAGGTGAAGTACAGTGAATTATTCCATTCACTCTGGTATTACTGAGGGCAGATGGCAACATGTTGGGATGTTAGTGAATGCCTGGGGGTGTTGAGGGGGTGGGGTAGTGGAGATAACTGGACTGTGGAGCAGGTTTATTACATATTATAGCCTCACAGTCCAAGCTCTTCTGCTCCAGTACAGGAGCATCATATCAAAATGTCAAGAACTTTTGAAGTCCATCAGTTTGTCTCTTTACTGGAGTTAATAGATCACAGCTGCTCACTTACTATCTAGCATTAGAGACAGTAGAGTAAATCTCATTTTGCTGTGTTTGTGTATTCCTGATTTGTTTTTGTAGGCTGATATAAATGTTTATGAGGTAACTTGAAAGCCCATTTCAGCTGGCATGAATGTATCCTTTCTGAAAATGTTTGTGTTGGTGTTTTTCCATTATGATCACCGACTGGAGAGATTTACTCATCTTTTTTCAAGTTATAGAGAATTCCACAGAATAATAATGATCTGATCTTCAAATAGAAAAATACAAATCCTGTAACATGGCTCAGTAAACTAAACACAAATCTGTTATGGAAACTGCCACCTTTTTTCCAGGAAAAACACCTAAAACATCATAACCCAAAATGAATCAGGAATTACTCCTCAACCTTTAGCCTATGTGCATAGTTCTTCAATCCAAAACATTGAAATATTGATAAAAACAGTGAATATTCATCAACTTGAGAACGGAACACAGTGGGGGGCATCAATCAATCTGGATTGAGCAGACCTTTCCTTGATGGATGTCTATGTAGCTAATACGGGTCGGCCACCAGAAAACAGCAAAAGTAAGTCAACGGTTCTAAAGATAGCGTGCTGCCTCCGGCACTGGGGGCGTCGGTGCTCGGGTGGTCTACAGCCATGCTAGTAGCTCTGTGAGGCTGAATGCTAATGTTAACATGCGAACATGCTAACAGTAATTATGCTCCCCAGTAAAATGACCATACTAACATGTTGATGTTTGGCAATGTTTGCCATTTTTACCATCTTAGTTCAGTGCAGTAGCGCTCAAACTGATGATAATAGCATCTCTTTGACCTTTTGATTAGGTCTTCCAGTGCACTCCTATTCTTCTCCATCTCTCCCAGACTCTCATGTGTGGATCTGCTATCACCCTCCAGCTTCCTCCTGCTCTTCTCCAGTTCACAACGCTGGCGACACTCCTGCTCCAGCCGGTACTCCAACTGAACGCAAACAACGTCACAGGCAGGACAAGACATAAACACAGTGATCACAGTGTAATACAGCTGTAAAGGGTATAGCTGAAAGTGGGGTTCAACTGTTTTGACGGCTAAAGCTGCTACCAATATTATAATATAACAACTATAATTGTCGGGGGCAAAATATTTTATGCCAGTAATCTGTTGTATTGACCATTTATTAAATATGAGAATTTTTATACACAAACTTACGTGGATTCAGTGTTTCCCCAGATTTGCCAAGGCACATTGGCTAACAGGGTTACAATTAAGTCTAATAACCTTAAGTTTCCATTCCTCATATTACTGTCAAATAGTTGGTTCATGACATTAATATATCTACAGTATAAATGTGTGAAACATGTGTTTCTTTTGGATGTTACACCAATTGTTAGTCCAATTCTGGCCTTTAATTAAACATCAGATATGGTCCAGTATGGTCAGTATAGTCTCCCTCTGATATGTGGTGTGGAAGTTTAATTAATTGCTTTTTTATTGTAGAATTTATCCGTTATATATGGTCATGTGCTCCCACACTACCGGCAGGCAACGCTCAGTCTGCCTGTTCCGCCCAGCAACAACAACATGCTTCAGGTCTTGGCCAATCAGAAGACAGTGGGCTTTGAGAGGGGGGCCTTAAAGAGACAGGAGCATCTACAGCTTGTTTCAGACAGAGGCTGAAATGAAGGCCTACATGAAGAATCAGTATAAGAAAATGTTTTTTGAATCATGCAAAGCTTCCATACAGGAGTCACATAACTACAACATAGGACTGGAAAAGCAGTATAATAGGTCTCCTTTAAAGCTGCACTAATCAATAATAAAATAAAAATTTATATTAACGATGAATCAAATGACTGGATGTATTTAAATTTGCTGGCTTGTTACGACAAATAAATGAAGAATTATCATTCAACTATGCAGTTCCACTAAGATCTATAGAGCGTTTTGTTGTCTTTCAGATAATGTTTCTGCATTTACATCCCACAACTTCAGTGTTTTTGATCAGTCCCAACACTCTCAGCATTGTTTCCAACCACAGAGCTAGATTTTTAGTTTCCTACCCAAAAATTCTCACCCCCTCCCTTCAGGCCTCTCTTCAAAGCCGCTCCCCCAAAACACACTTTCATGCACAGTGGGTGTACCAGCAGAGTGTATGCAGGTAGGCCAGCCATTTTATTCAGGGGAAATGTTTTGTAAAGAGAATTTCAACAAATAACAAAGGAAATAAACTGCCTATCCCAGATTTCAGTTAATTTAAATCTGCATTAATAGATGTATTTGCCACTAATTAGCACAACAAGCTGAAAAATCAACACTGATATACAGCATCATGACCATTTAAAATTAATCAATCAACATGTTAGCAAACTGTACTCATCCAGCAATCATGAAGCAACATTAGCATTTTTTGGGACTACTTTGGGACACCTGATGAATGTAAGTTCAATTTAACTGCTAAATAATTTTCACCAGCTAGTTTCTAACTGTGTCTGTCAGCTGTTTGGTGCTGCTGTTGTGTACAGTGGGTTTATCAAAGTGTTTGTTGCTCAAAACAGCTGTCTGCTGTGGCTGGAGACGAAGTTGATGAGAGCAGTTTGACTGAACCGAAACAGTAAAGTTACGGGCTGTAAAACCAAAACAACATCGAGCTGAACAATGGCAACATAGAACTGCAGATTTGGATGATAATTCTCTGTGGGGGGGTCAGGGGAGCCTCCCCTGTCACATTACACTGTTATACACTATAGTACTCTGTTGTTTGTTAACAAAAAAATATTAATTAGTGCAGCATTAAGTTGGGATAAATTAAGCGCAGCAGTGTTTAGTGGCATAATGCCACTTTACATTTGGCAAATGGAGTTATTGGATGTGTCAAATTAAACATATCAAATATTCCCAAATACTCCCAAAACTAAACTGACTTTGATAGATACTGTATTTAAGGTAAAAATAGAAAAATAAATATTGTGTGTGTATATATAATGAGCAATACAGTAAATATACAGAAAATGAACTTACATCTTCAGCTTGCATCTGTAGCTTGGTTTTCTCTTTGGTCAGCAGGTTCACCTTCTCCTCTTCGCTCTGCAGGTCTTCAATGGCTTGCTGTTGGGGTGAAACAAGATTTCTGAGCATGGGCTGCACATGTGTCCCTAAATCACTGATCCTCTGTAGCATTGCCTCACATCCATCTGTCAGCCACATTGGTGCGTGGAAAGATAAGAGTTGTTTGGTTGCTCAGAAAATGTCAGAAGTCATCACCCGTTTGATCTGATTGATCAGAGATTTTCTCTCTTTCCTTCCATCAACTGGGAACAAAATAGTGTTGAGACATTAAACTCACTGACTCCTTGCCTGAACTCACTGAAACAGCTCTTGTAATGCTAAGTCGGTTTCTCTTTGTATTCCAGACTAAATCCATAACCTAACACATGTTCAACAAATAGTAATGAGATAATGAAGCATTATGCTGAACTGCTCCCACAGATTGCACAATAATGCAGAGTGCTACTGTTGGACAAACCATCTGGGAGAAATTAGCGACCAGGACCTCTAGCTGCCATAGACGATGATGAGGTTGTTGAGGGCAGAGATTTCTTTAGATTCCAAAGTATCTGCTCTTTTCAAAGAAGAGAGTGCTGTGTGTCTGATGCAGAGCACATTTATCATGAGTGCCACGTTTGGCAGGTCCACAGGCCATATGCTTCTATTTTCCTAAAGTTATGTTTCATTCCCAGTCAAGCAGCAAGTGAGGTATCTCTCTCTCCTCTGAGAAATGGGACACGGCTATCGATTACACTAATAAACAATCACATATAAAGCTAAACAGCATGACATGCTGTGTAAGCATTTGTGAGGTTTACAGCTCACATGAGCATGACATAAATCTTAATGAAAGCTGACTATATGGTATACATTACAGTAGTACAGTAGTAGATCGTCAAAGTTCATGACTTTGGAAACAGTAAATATAGTAATGGGTGGGGATGGAGCAGTGTATAAGACACATGATAAGATGACTTTGGTGTGAGAGACCCGGGTTCAAGTCCCCATTGTTGCACATTCACCAATGTGTCCCTGAGCAAGAAACTTTTTTGAGGGGATAAAAGCATCAGCTAAATGAATTAATGTAAAACAAAAATTTAAATACTGCTACTTATAGCTGTTTCCAGAACTTTCAAACACATCTCGCTGTCTGCATCATTGGATAGTTTGCTCTGTTGTCCTGGATATCTAAGTATGTATATCTAGTATATCTATAAGTATGGAACTCCAAAATGAATTACTTAGGTCACATGATGACAACCAAGCAAAATCTATCTGCTGAGGAGACGCAGTTGAAAGCGGCATAAAAAGCTAGTAAGTAGACAATGCGTAATACCTTGGGTAATAATACTTTTAAACTGATGTAAGTAATTTTGGAGTCATTAAAGATAACTGTCATTTTAGGTTTATGGAACTCAACACATCTAATGTAGCTAGCTATTTTTATGTAAGTTTTTCACAGCCGACAACCTTGTTTGTGTATGTTATAATATCTCAATATTAGATGCGCAATATCACATATCACAATAGCACATTGATATACTGTGCAAGTTTGAATGAATGAAATTTGTGATCACTAGCAGCACTCATGTTTTTAACAGGAGGGCACCAAAATATATGTTTTTAAAATCTGCTTTGCATATGTGTTATGAGGACAGAAATGCATTAATATTATTTTTTAAATAATCCTTGCATTGTCATCAGGGTAATCTCAACCTGGGCTTGTAGACTACAAATTTCTGGTCTATGTTACAAAATAAAGGCGTGGAGTTTGAAAGTCTCCGATTGCTTGCATAACTGGATGTTATATCTCGACTGAAAGTCAGGCTGCTTCTTTTAAAGAGGTGGTATTATGCTTTTTGGCCTTTTCCCTCTCCTTTATTAAGTTATATACCTTTTTTGTGCATGTAACAGGTTTGCAAATTGAAAAAGCCCAAAGTCCACCCCAAAGGGAGTTCCCATCTCCCACAGAAAACTCTGCTCTGAACTGAGCTTGAAAACAGCTCGTTTGTAGTCCAGACGCTTCCATTTGATTCCTGTGACGTCACAGGGATGAAAGCTAAATGCGCCTCATATAACGCTCGCCTAGTCCGACACGCCCTCAAAAACACCAGTGGAAAAACACTGAGCTGCAGCACACAGCTCTCCTCTCCCTTCCAAACACTAGATACCATCCAGGCAGTCAGTGTACAAAAAGTTGTTCCTGTGATGTAGAGACAGAGCTCAGTTAAACATTTATGGATGAAAGATACATTTGTTACAGATTAATAACTCATTCTGAAACTCTTGCTCCAGTCCATGTTGCTAAGCTGGTAAGGGGAACATATATACCTGAACCGAAGCCATGTTTACTGGCTTCTCACTGACCCGCCCTTCTCTGCTTCTGATTGGCTAGTAGTCCTTAACTAGGAACTGCGCATGTCCAACTCCCAACAAGGATCATGTAGAGGCAAAATGTATCACTCCACAGCTAAAACAAAGCGTTCAACACACTGGGTGAAAAGAGGAGCTGCAGCAATGTGCAGTATGACAAAAATGAAACCATGTAAACCTGTTCTGGTACAACCCCTAAATAATATTTTGAATCTGAAAATATGCATAATACCACCTCTTTAACACTGTTTCACTGCATACTGAACAGCAATATCCTACCCATATCCTGATAACTCACTGTACTCTCACCTGGCTGAGCTCCACCAGATGATCTTTCTCTTTCTGGAGCTTCTGCAGCGCCTCCTCCTTCTGAAAAAGCTGTTCTGACAGCCTCCTAACCTCACTGTCTGATGACTAGAGAGAGAGAGAGAGAAAGAGAGAGAGAGGTCATAAACAGTAATCCACTTGAAAGAATTCATAAATTCTGTGACTTTCTGTCACAATAGATAATGCATATATTCTGAATCCCAAAGCCAATCATGCTAAGTAACATCTCTCCGCATTTAGCATCTAGTTCATATCTACCTCTGCAAAAACCCTTCTTTCTGTGGTTCCTAATGTTTTCCTCTTAGGCAAGCAGCCATGATGGCTTGTGAATACAGCAGTTTCAATATGCAGGCTCTGACTTTGCAGCCACGCCGTAAAACAATTATCTCCTTTCATGACAGAAACAGATGTCATTATTTTGCCTCTCTCTTATGGACATCAAAGCTTTATTTGCATGTGGAATCCTGGCTTGCAATGAAGACATGAGGACCTAATGAGAGAAGGGTGATAGTTTAAAATCTGTAGGCACATTGGACTGCAAATGTGAGCTAGCAGACTGGGGTAGATATACGGTGGTGTCAATTTCTATGCGTATTCAGAAAGGACAACAAAGATCTGTTTTGCAATCAAGAACAGACAGGTGAGCGGATTCCGCTTTAAACTGTAGTTTTTTGAATCAGACACATCATGTCCAGTCATAATGACAGTTATGACAGCATACCAAAAATATTAGACACCGCCACGTCATTTTTTTCAAAGCCTTGTGTCAACTCTGCAATCAAACAGGTCTGGTCATGTTGCATCCATTGTAGTGGAGTCCTCCCACAGTTCTTTCTTACAGTATCTTTACCACCTGGGAGACCAGTTAGCCAAGAAGACCTTATATCACATAGCCAGATGATCATCTTCTTAACATTGTGACCCAGATCAAATTAATCAGTGTGAATTTGCAGAGGCTAAATCAACACCACTTACAGCTCCTCTTCCCTCTTCGCATGCAGTGCTGTGTGAGTACAGTACATCCATGTGGCATTCCTGAGATAGCAGATGCACAGATAGCATCGTAATCCTTTAATACACCTCAGTGAAACAGATAAAGGGGTTTGGTGAGGGGCTGTAATGGCGATGTCAGAGCAGCCTCAGCTTGTGAGTGTCTACACAGAAGACCGGGCGCTTCATCATGGATCAGGGCAAAATTCCATGGTTCAAGATGGAATCATAAGCTGGAAGGCATTTAACTTTGACCTGGAAAATTTAACGTATGACACAGAAATCAGTCAAACTAAGAAAGACTCTATAACATGTAAACCTTTATGGTTAGACCTACTTTCTGATAGATAACGTTGTATTTGTATCTCAGGTTCGAAGAGCTCTGTACATTATATGTGACTGATTCCAATGCTAGTTACTTTTTGGGACAAAATTAACTGTTCTACAAAATCTACATTAAACATTGTTTAATTGAGTAATGTCTGCAGGTATTCCTTTTAGGCTGCATACAGAGAACGATGATTTTTCCCTAAAACTACTACTACTGCATCCGTTTTGAGGCATATCATGTAGTAGGTGTGTTCTGTATTACTGTGCACCCGCAGATAGACATGTGCATAGAGCCCCAACAACCTTCCCTAATAAGGTAGGGCAGCCTGTGTGTAGCCTGAGAGGCAAATCCACTCACTGCAGCTCATTAAGCTTATTGTTTCAAATTCATGGTTCTCACTAAAGGCGACTCATATTAGTAGCAGCTATGTGGTCACTCTCCCTCTGTATGAAGGGTATCGTCAGTTCCAGGAGACTATCCTGTGAAGATCACACAATGTTCTACCTGTTTATCCTGCTCAGCCACAGTCAGGGCACTCTCCAGTTCATCCAGGTCTCTTCTGAGGCTGCTGCAATTGGCCTCCAGTCTGTCCCTGTGAAGGGCGAGCTGGGCTGAGCAGGCTTCCTCCTCCTCCAGACGGTCTGAGAGGCCTGACAGCTGCCGCTCCAGCTCACGCCGGGCCTTCTCCAGCTGGACACAGTGCTGCTCAGACGCCTGGGCAGTCTCCTGCTCCTGGAGGGTAAGAAACATGGAGAGAATGCCAGTGTTGTATTACATACAGTTATCACATACAGTGATTTAGGGTTTTTTTCCCCAAAAATGTTTTCATACATTTTTCTTCTTCCAGTTTTATTGCTGTATTTAAAGCTACTTTGTGTTGAGTTGAACCTTTGGAACCCAGTAGATAGCTTAAATCCCACTTTTTAACCATTTTTTTGTAAATATGAAATTACTCACATGTGTAATGTGTATAACTTCAGGAATAATTTAAGTTAACATGCTAAACATAAGCTCTTATTGGAATTTGAAGAAAAATGGTTTAAGAATATTTTGTTAAAGCCTAAGTAAAGACATATATGCATATCAAACAGAAGTTTAGTCCTGAATTATATATTACATCTCGTTTATCTAGAAGCCAGAGATCCTTAGTTGCACAATTGAGAGTTGGGATTCTGCCTCTGGCCACTGAGGTTGGCCGATTCAAAAACATTCCAGAGGAAAACAAATTGTGTGAGTTGTGTGAACTGGGTGAAGTGGAAAGTGAATCCCATTTCCTTTTGTACTGTACACATTATGATGACTTGGGAGAATCAATGTTTCTGGAAGTTATGCGACAAATCCCTGAAATATTTTGGTATACTGATGACTTAAAATTGCAATGCCTGTTTAACTATGATGTATTTAAGTTTGCAAACTTTGTCTCAGAGGCTTGGAAAAGATGGCAAGCAAGTTTGTTTAACTAGATTTAATAATTTTTTTGTATGGAATATGTATATGTGTCGGTGTATATAGGGGTGAATATGGGTGCATATGTGTATGCATACATATATGTATCTATATATATATATATATATATATATAATAGATATGATATGTGATATGTGTGTAGAGGATATGTGTGTGTGTATGTGTATGTGTATGTATAATAATATTATTATTACTCCTCTTCTGTTTGGTATGACAACGTATTTGATGTACTCAGAACCTGGCTATACTGTATATTAATTTTGGTGTCTAGAAAGCACGTGCAGGCTTGGACGTAATTATACACATGACACAATTATAAAACACCATTCAAAACTTCATTCATTCATTCATTCATTGTAATATTTAGCTTTTATGCATTTTTAAGCCCTCAAACTAAAACACTCATATTGCATTTCACTGAAATGACTGTAATTCACGTTTTGCATTAACGTAATAATATCGCTGCTGCAACAGAAATATTAGGATTGTTTAGTTCCATCCCAACATGACTATGGAAAAAGTGTAAATATACTGTAGTTTTGTTGGGGAGATTAACTAGTTAACAAGACTGAGGTCAAACGAGGTAAGTAAAAGTGGAGAGAATTAGTGAAAGGCTAAGGGATAAAACACGAAGATGAAGGGATTAGCTGAATAAAAGCGGCTGAAGCAAAGGCAGATAATTAGTTCATACAAAGATGATCTTACCACAGGTTATGCCACAAGATGAAACTTATCCTCCCTCAAGTCAGAAGAAACTTCCCTGTGTTCATTTGCAGCTGCCTTAATATAGCACAGCTGAAAAGCTGACACAGTGACGTACAGTGCTGACTTGATAAGCAAGTTCTACCAAACACCAGATCACTTAGTCAACAGCTATCCATAACAGGAGTGAGAAGACTTGATTGTGAGAGCCTGCTCTGGTTACTGTTACTTTCTTATGGACCAGTCCTCGTGGGCAAGGCATTTGGAACGAACTAATAGCATACCCAAATATCTGGGCATTTGTGAAATGATCAGGCGACCACATTTCCATCTGTATTTATTTCCATAAAAGTACTTGGTTTGAGCTCTTTCCCTGCCTTTTCTGAAACCTCCTCACACAATTTTCTTCCTCATGTTATTTGCACCGTTAACACATTTCACCTAGTGATAATTGAACAGGTGTTAGCAGGTCTGACAAGAAGACAAAATCAATCATTCATATACACAAAAATGTGCACGTCACACACACATACACACCTAAGTCCACACAGGTTGGTGTTGAACAAACACTTCTCAGGGGCAGTGCTGCTATGGAAAATCTTGCCCATGTCCAAAGTCCCTCTCATTCACTATTCCTTACTTAGGAGAATTAAATAATTTCCTCTGTAGTAAGTAGTAACTTTTTTTTTGCACCATTTCTGACAAGTGTAGTAGCAGTAAGAGTCACACGAATCACTGCATTTTCACTTAAAAGAACTGTATATGCAATGCACACAGTTTTGTTGTTCCATTGTGAGGAATTATTCAGGACATTGTACATTAACTGCATTTTACACTTAGAAATCGGACACTTGAATAAAATTACAGAAAGATACATAGTGCACAAATTTGGAGTGATTGCACACAGCCTGAATGAGACTGAAAACCAGTTATGGAAGTTTTGTTAGTTAAAAATACACAGTACAATATCATATAAAAAATAATGCAATATAAATGTTATTTCTATAAGCACTGCCAAATGCAGTAACCTATAGCATTGGTTTGTGAACAACTTGTGGAATACAAGAGAAGAACAACAGACCTTTTCCAGTGCAGACATTTTGAGATGTCAGTGCAGGAAAATGCCATCAGTAACACCATTTTAGGTGTTTCAAGGCCCTGGTGTACATGCTTCCTCACTGGCATCGATTACTGCAATGCCTGTCTGGCTTAGAGCCATCCTAAATGTTTTTAAATGCACCTTTACATTTGCTGTTGCTATAAAAGAAGGACACTATAAAAACATCTATTCACATTAGCGTTGCCTGGAGGTCTGTGATTATTATAATTATTTTTGATGTTTTGCTCAGTATGCAAATGACTACCTTATATCCAACATCGTTTTTATTGGTCTATCAGATGTTTTCCTTGTTTATTTCCTTTAGGGTTAGCAAACAAGTAATCTAAAACTGACAGGGACAGTACAATGGTGTAGCAGCCAATTACTTTGGTTGAAGCTTTGTTGAGGCAGGCTAGTTAGCCTGTTCATGCAAATTGATCATTTGGCTGTCACACATAAACAGGACAAATTGGCCTGGCTAACGTTTCAGATTTACATTATTTATATTAACTTAGCTACCTGCCCACCTTGCGATAATGGATGTCACTGGCATAAAGTAGTGTAAAAAGTCCTTGCTATTCATATTTTGACTAGGGATTTCAACCTAGCAAACATTTCTGCTCAAGCGTTTGGCACTTTGGTTCCATCCATTAGCCTTTTTCACAGAAGACATTTTGACATTTTAGTAAGAAAAACACAGGTGTTAAATGAATGATGGCTGAATTCAGTTTAACAGCTTAGGTTTCGGGTCCTGTCACACTGTCATGGTTCACTGTGATACTTATTTAGCCTAATCTCAATTCAAATTATCTTTGGTAAAAAAAAAAAAGAGTGGTTTAGCTCTACCAGTACAATTTGTTTTTCTTTCAGAACTATTTTGCTTCTAAGACATATATAAGACCAACCAACAAGAGTTACCCACAGCTGCTAATCTGTGCTCCAGTGTGGTGCTATAGCTATCCCAATCCAGTTCTTCAGGTTCGGGTTCTGGTCCAGCATCTGCATGGTTTCCATTTGCCTCCTCAGAGTCATCAGAGAGGGAGTGGCAAGGCCAACGGCGCCTTGTAGACATCATCTTGATACTTCCCCCAGTCTAAACACTCTCTTTTGCTTTGCAGACTTCACCTGTTTGGCACTGTAGCAACTTGCCTGCCTGTTCTGACAGTGTTTCCGTGCTGCAGCAAAGATGCTTATTCAGTTTTCTGTCTGTTTCTTTGCTCGGAGTACAGCTGTTCTCGTTGTTCCAGGTGGGTTTCAGCAGGAGGAACAGTACTTATTCACTCACTAATGGTGCTGCAGTCTGTGATCTCCCAGCAGGTCTTCTCTCTAGCAACACATTAGTCGCTCTGTTCACCTTTCGTTTGCCTTCCTTGTCTTTTTCTCAATCCTCTCTGTGAGCCTTTTCTTTTTTTTTCTTCCCTCTCTTGCTCTTTCTCTCCTTTCAATCAACCATTCATCTATGTTTCATTTTAGGGTGTGCTGGTATACGCCGGTGAAATCCAAACATTCCTCTGTACGTACTTCCAGCCTGCCCACAGCCATCTGCTTCTACTTGTAACCCTATGTAGGTAGCCACTGCTCGGTCCACTCATAGATTCTGACGACCTTCACTCCTGCCTGCTTGCCTCATTGTAGTCTCTTCCCCCAGAAACAGGTGTCTCTTCCCACTTTCGGGGAATCCAAAGGTGTCCCACAGGGATAGCGGTTGGTGTAGGATGTCAGATCAGGATAAAAGGCTTAAACGTTGTGCCACAGAAACGCAGCCCTCAGCTGTACCATCAAAGCCACACCACAGAAAGACAAGAAAACAAGGGTAGTATTCCAGAGTCAAAGATGCCTTTTCTGCTCAGTCTACGTTATAATTGACATGAATGTCTTGTGCGCCCACGCCCACATCGTCCCCCCACAATGCCACGGCATTCATCTTAGCAAGAACAACGAGGCTTTTTGTGCTTTAGATTCGAGCGTGGATGTTTTTCTTGAATGAAGTCACAAAAGACTAGATAAAGCACATCTAGAGTTAAAATTAAGCAGGGTCGCAAAAGCGGATGATGAATAAGATAGGTAATCCCATAGGAAATCTCACCATTGCCTTAACAAATAGGGGAGAAAAAAAATTAGCAATATATTAGACATTCATCATCAACTTTCACTTTCAATACTAGAACATGTTGAGAAGAACAATTTATAAATTGAGGAATGAAAAAATTTATAATAACTTGAATGTTAAAGTTCATTCTTGACCTTGGAAATAGTAGTTGGTAGTAATAATAATGAAATCTTGGCTGTTCTTCTTGACCTTGGAAACTTGGAAACTGCAGTGAAAAAGCACTTTCTCAACTCAAGGCTTTTCCTGGGCTTTCAACCACATCACATGAAAAAATCTAGGAAGTGGACTTTTAATTAAGTTTTAGTTGAACTGTATAATCCAGCTGTATAATTATAATTATTGTTTGATGACCTG